TATATATTATATATGTTGTTGGTGATTGCTGTTGAGTTGAGCATAACTCATAGTGACCCTATGAACAAAAGCCTGAAGCCTTTCTATAACCTTTGCCATTTATCAAAGTTCCAGAAGCATGATATATATATATATATAATCCACATATACATATATACACGTACACACACACATATACCTTTTCTCTCTCTAAAACTATCACTAGTTAAAAGAGAAGCCTATGCTTTATTAATCTTCTGATTCTTTAGAAATCTCAGCAGAATTTAAGTAGGGACTACATGTGTATCCTTCGAACATATGCTCAATAAATTTCTGGATGAGTCCCCATGGAAACATAGCCTTACTTTTTGTTATTCCTTTGACTGAAGACCTTACTTGTTCTTCCTTCCCTTTTCCCAAGATCTTTTGCCCATGATCTTGTCTGCTGGCTCTTCTCTGTGGATTCCATTCAGCTCTCACACTTGACATTGACCTCTGACTCTCTTCCTCAAATCTAACTAATTTCACCTACAGCTGTTCTGGAGGAACAGGTCCTCAGATCTACTTCAACTCTTAGGACTTTTCTTTCTGCAACTCAAACCCTGGAGGGATTCTACAATCTCTCCTACTCCTAATGCAAAAGAAGGGACTGGACAACTCAATTGCCCAGATGTGGCAACCAGAGCACTTTCTTATTGCTCACAGATCCTCTTCCTTAAGTTGCTCTGAGTTTAAAATCACAATCATTTTTGGGTTTGCCTTTTCCCTGGGAGCTAGTGATTAAAAAGCTTGACAAAGAGAAGTCCATACCTACTTTATCCCTTCCAGTCAATTCTGTCTCGTTTCTGATGCTGATTCTCAGTTCTCTTTGTTGGTCATCATGTAGTCAATCCTGAGAAATTTTACCGACTACTTTTTCTAAAAGAAGCTCTGGTAGCCTACTGTGAAGAAGCTGTGCTGCAATCCCAAAGGTTTACAGTTCAAGGCCACCAGCTGCTCTGTGAGAGAAGGATGGGCATCTCCTCCCACGTGATTAACTGTCTCTGAAAAAACCACCAAGGATCAGCTATGGGTTGGTTCAAACTCTATGGTAGAGAACAACAACTTTTTCTAAATGGCATTTTTAAGACTGTTGATATTCTAAGATCTGACAGTATCGAGAGTGCTACAACATGCTTTAGACAAAAAAAAAATGACTGGAACACCCTGTCATTGGTACCCACTAGTGCCTCCTAGGGTTGCTCAGAAGCAAGGTGGTCCCAGAAGCTCCACAGCACATGGAGCCAGACTCTTTACTGACTTGAGGATTGCTCATCTTCCCTTACATGAACTGAAGTTGTCTGAGTCTTAATAGTTTCCAGCTTTTGACACACAAAGGATATCAATGCTGTGACAACAGCATATGCAGATCCCATTGCAAAAGAGCCAGCAAAGATTCCCAGGAAATTCCCCACAGACTGGAAGAATGCTGCAGCATCAAAGGTGTTTGGATTCTCCTTGGGACTGTAAATGGATATTGAACTGAAATGAGAAGAGAACAGAGATTAGTCATTGGTTTCCATCTTTCGGTTCTAATTCCAGAAGTCAGAATTTAGCATCCACTTTTGGCAAAGGCACTTTCCCTGTAAGGTAAAAGTTTGCGGGAAGAATTTAGGAGCAACTGAGAATTTAGGGTGAGTTGGAGAAGATAGAAAGTGCTCCCCTTTCTCATAGAACAATCCCAAGGTGTCCATACATTGCTGCCATTCAGTAAACATTTTTATATTGGAAGGGCCATAAAGAATACTGTTTCCCAGCAAACTAGGCATTAAAACATAGTAGGTGTAGTAAAAGGAATGTGCTGAGAAGATACATATCTGTGAATTATTTAGGGGCCATATGTCTTCATTGTTATTGTATCTTCACAAATGTTCCTGATAAAAAGTTCACTTTTATGATCTATGTGCAAATGGCGACACAAATCACAGTGTGCACAAAATATCGTGCCACGCTCTTGTCATAAACCACAACGCTTTCCTCTTCTGTAGCCCTTCAGAAACGGCACCCGAACGGTTTTCAAGAGCATCGTGATATTAACCTCTAGGGAGAAACAAAACCGCATTTTCCCAACAAGACAAATAGTAGCAGCTGCCTGAGGTCATCTTTTATATCCTGGTTCTGGTGGCTGCCAATAGATTTATCTCCATAGAGAAAAATCAATCCACCGGTAGGCAGACTGTTCACTTAAATATTTTTTGTGGATGTAGTAGTTGTTATTTTTGTGAACCAGGCTCTCAAATCCCAATATTGAAGACAAGGCGTGTCCTGTTTTAGGAAATAGGCATTCCTTTTTGAAGTATTAAAATGAACAGATAGATGTACTAAAACCAATACTTTATCACAGGCTTAATAAAGTATAATTTTAAATTTTGTTTTTTATTTTTATAGTTTTCTTTTTTTCACATATGAGGTCTTTAAATCTGATTAGGAAAAAAGAAACAACAAAAAACAACAAGCCCAAGTTTGGTAATGGGGCCTAGAGAAAGAGTTGTAGCAGTATCAAGAGCAAAATGTGTTCTGGACACAACAAATTCAGATCAGTTTGGATTTTTCCAAGATGTCAGGGAATCCTTTACTGCTTGGATGATTAGAGCAGGCTAATGTTTGGACCTGTCTTTTTGTATACAGAGACGAGTTAAAAGAAATAAAGGGGGCAAAGTCAAGCTCTAACACAGGAAGAACTGTGCCATTAAAAAAAAAAGTAGTTTTAAATGTTCTTAGTTTTCCCTTCTATGTCTGTAAACCTCCAAAGTAGGCCAATCGCTTCTGCTTTGATCCTGTAATTGGATAAGGAAGATGAATGTGGGTCTTGAATGCGGCCTGAAATTTATGCGAGAAAGGAACTGCCTTTGAAGTGTTTCTCTTTTTTTGCAAAGTGTTGTGTTTTGGAAAGTGTTGGTGAGAGGGAAGAGAGAAAAGCAAGTCAGTATTTGAGTGTTCTGTATGTGACAGCCCTAGGAAACTGTGAAAATCTGTGGTGGCTCAGAGGCTAATGTGTTAGATCCGTGAAAGGCTGGTGGTTCTATGATACATGTTGCTTCTTGGAGGAAAAAAATACGTTGTCTTCTCTCCTTAAAATTTCCACCTTTGGAAGTTCACTGGAGGGTCTCTCTGAGTTAGATCAGCTTGATGACAGGGTTTATTTATTTTGATTAGGAACTTTGACCCTCAGTACTGTGTGGTTGAAAGTTCCACCCATACAGTTATTTAACCCAAGAGGAAAAAAGTTATTGCACTGTTGGGGTGCTGTTGAGTTTGATTCCAATGCGTAACGCCCTACACAACAGAGAAGAATGGTCCCTCATGGCTTCCCCTCTGTAATTATATGGAGTGGCGCAGACGGCTAGGTTTTCTCTCCCCCAGATTGGCCAGTGGGTTCATATTCTAGACCTTTTGGGATAGTAGCCAAGCACCTAACCATTGTGGTTGTGTCATCATCACTCCTCAAGAAAATAGTAGGGATAGGAAAGCATTGTCTGCAGCCTTCTTTTCCCAGCAAGGATGTCCGGCATAGCAACAGAGCTTTGTAAAACATCCTGTTAATTTCTAAGGCCATTAACTATACATCAGACCTACAGCACTGTTGCACCCCTATTTTTACCTCCACATGCGATAGATTTTCCCCCCAATGGCTTCCCAAACTTGGAGCATCAACATCACATCTCTTGGCTGTATCCTGTACCTTTACTTTCATGTTTCTCTTTAATTTCTATTCTTTTTTTCACAAGCAAGACTTTTTACTAAAGAATATGAAGTGAGAAACTTGATGTGCTTATAGGAGCACTAATGGCCTAGCTGCAATCTCAAAAGCATGTGGTTCAAATCCACCAGCAGCTCCGCGGGAGAAAGATGGGCAAGCTCTTCTCGATCGTTTCTCTAATGTTGCTGCTGGTTGTTGTTGTTGTTGTTGAGATGAATATGACTCACAGCAACCTTACGAACAAGCAAATCTGAACCCTGTCCTGTCCTGTGCCACCCTCATCCTCTCTGACGTACTTGAGTTCTTGCTGCTATTACTGTGTCAATCCGTCTCATTGGTCTTTCCTTCACTGACCCTTCACCTTTCCAAGCATGAGGCCGCTGGCCAAGAGATAGCCTGTCCTAGCAACAGATTCAAATTATATGAGAAGAAGCTTTGTCACCTGTGTCTCCGACGAGCAACCTGGCTGCATTTTCTTCAAGATACAGCTCTTTGCTCTTCTGGAAGTCCATGGGATATTCAGTGCAGTCCATGGGATATTCAGTGCAGTCCACGGGATAGTCAGTGCAGTCCACGGGATAGTCAGTGCAGTCCATGGGATATTCAGTGCTCTTCTACAACATCACAACTCAAAGACTTCAATTCTTATATCATTCTTATTATTGTCCAGCTCTCAGATGCATAGCAAGTGATGGAAAAGACCATGCTCTGAATCAGGTACACACTAGTGTTCAAACTGACATCATTGCTCCTCAGTAATTTAGAGAGGTCCCTGACAGATTTGACCAGTGTAATACGTCTCCTGATCTCCTAACTGCTGGTACCAAGGGGGTTGACTGTGGATCCACGTAAGATGAAATCACTGACAATTTCAATCTTTTCTGCATTTAGCATGATGTTGCATATTGGTCCAGTCATGAGGTTTTTGTCTTCTTAATGCTGAAAATGGGAGGAACATGTGCATTCATATGGACAAATAATAGGGTGAGACTGGCTATTAGGAAGGCAGTAGTTAACATCAGAATTTATTTTCATGCCTGAAATGAACCCAGGTACTATCTTCCTGAATGCAAGGATAAGAACAGATACTATTTATATGAACCCATCTCCTGTAAGATCAGAGGGAAGAATGAGGGCTAGACAGAAATCTGTCTTAAAGGCTTGGCTTCCTCTCCAGATTCTAAGCCTTTGTTGGAACAGTCCTGGGTCTTGGTCCTCCCAGAACACAGTCTAATGACTGGCATGTGGTAGATTATAGAAAGACTGGCTAAATGAAGGCAGGATAACAGCAAGTCTTAAGAAAAGTCATCTCAAACTAATCATTTCTTGAAATGAGTCATCATCCACAATGTGTTTGATTTTAATTATGCAGCCAGATCATGGGTATTTTCAGAGAGATCAGTCCAAGCATGAAGATGATACAGACACCCACTAATAATGAATCAAAGATCCATCCTTGTGGGCTTACGGCCTTCAGCAAATTACTCACTCACGCTTAGACTCAGTTCATCATGTGCAAAATGGAGGTAACAACAGTATTTCTCTCTCCGAAATGTTGTCTATTCAAACTCTGTATGTGCCCTGTGAATTGTAGGCCCATCTATGGAGTGCTTATTACTTGCTCTCAAAACAAAAATTCAGTGAACGTTAACTATCGTCACCATTACTAGTCTGTGACAAATTCCCCAACAGCCTCACCGTGGTGGATGACAGTGTGGTGACTGGACCAGGCTTGGGTTCCAACTATGGCTGTGGGGTGTGGCTCCCCTCACACCAAGTCTTGAGGTGGCTGGTGAGCACTGGCCACTTTCATGAGCACAAAGATCTTCAGGGAGAAAAGGCACCAAGCAAGGTATCCCTGAAAAACAGCTATAGAGTGGGGCACAAAAAGTCCACTTTTCATCTGGAGCCCTTAGTATGGACAGGAATCTACCTCAGAGACAAAGAGCTGGTCAAGAGAGTGGCATTGCCAGGTTAGCAGGGTGGCATGCAGGCAAAGCCTTCTTTTTTAAGTCTGGCAAAACCCCAAGGAAACAGGAGCCTGATAACCTTAAAACCTGCCTTCCACCAGGACAGTTGGTTTTACTCCCTGGCGAAGGGGCAGGTCTGTGGACTCTGAACCACAGCTATACCACCAGTCTTCTGAACTGCGAGGCAGCAGCTGCAAAGGTTATTATGCTTTGGGTTTCTTTTTAATAAAGAAACCAAGGATTTGAACAGCAGGTGTGGGGTTTTCCAACTTAAAAACAAGCAAAGGAGAGTTTTGTTCCAGCAATTTCAGCCTTTTGGACCTAAAAAGTAAACCCATCCTCCCCCGCACCAGAGGGAATTTTTAAAACATTCTGGATGCTGACATTGCAAGGGGTTGGGAAGAAATCGGTAGAGGAAGGAGATTTTCTGTTAACCCATGTCTTTACTCCTTTATTCTGTAGGAATCCACTTTGAGGAGGAACTGTTCATAGCAGACACTGTGAAGAGGGATTCATAGCCTCCAAATTTCTGTAAAATATATCTTTGGGCTAGATGGAACTGATATCCTTGAAAATGACATGGCCAGAAATACACACTGGCGTTTAAATATTCATCTCATAATTTGGAAATAAATCCAGGTTATTGATCCAGTCTGTTTAAGAACAGATTACTCAGCAAATGCTCCTTTGATGACATTGTACAATATCCGTTCTCAGTGAGAAAGGTTTATCTTTATTTTTTAAATAAAAATTTCAAAATATCCTCTATTACTTTGATGAAAATCACGTAAGTAAGAATTACTTTGCTCATG